TTTCGATGGGGAAAACCGCATCCCGAACATGCTCGCATTGTTGCTTAGGGTAGTCAGAAGACTCTGCATTTTGTCAGCGTCTTCACCGAATAGAACTATGTCATCGGCATATTCTAGATCAGTAAGCGACTTTCCTGGTAGAAGGTCAACCCCTGAAAAATCTGACGAGCTTAAAGTTAACTCTAAGAGGATGTCTACGACAAAGTTGAACAAGAATGGATAGAGTGGACAGCCCTGACGGACACCACTTGATGTAGAGAATTCAGATGACAGTTCGCCATATGCTCTCACCCGACCAGTGGTGTTCGAGTAGAGTGCTTGTATAAGGTTAATGTACTTCTTTGGTACACCTTTCAATGACAGACACTGCCACAGAACCTCACGATCCACTGAGTCGAATGCCGCCTTAAGGTCCACGAACACGACTATTGTCGAACGTCTAAATGTGTGTCTGTGTTCCAGGACCTGTCGTAGTGTGAAGATGTGGCCTATACAACCACGTCCAGGTCGAAAACCAGCCTGGTTTTCTCGAGCTCTAGTTAGACGTCTAAGTATAATCGAGGCTAACAATTTAGAAACTATATTAGTTAAACTTATTCCCCTGTGATTGTCACAAGAGGACTTCTGTCCTTTCTTGTAGATTGGGACAATTAGCGACTGAGACCAGTCAGGTGGGATTACGTCCATTTCCCAGATTCTACCTAGGATCTCGGTCAGTCTAACTGTTAAAACTGGACCACCATCCTTAAACATCTCAGGGGTAAGCCTATCGGGACCTGCCGCTCTACCTCTCCTTAGATTTCCTATAGCTTTCTCAACTTCATGTAAACTGGGAGGACTTAAATCGATTTGCCATTCAGGATGACTGGAGATCGTGGGCAACCGAAGAGTGGCTGAAGGCCAGTTGAATTGATCCCTAAAGTGTTCTGCCCATCGGTCCAGCCTCCTAGATTGAGAATGGATAATAAGACCATCCTTTTCCGAGATAGTCTCACTTACATTCGGGTTCCTAATACCGGTTTCTTTGATAAGGCGGAAAAGTTGTCTAGTGTTGCCTATCGCCGCTGCCTTTTCCATCGCTTTTGCTTTCGCCACCCACCACTGTTCACGGTCGTTACGTAGGCTTTTTATCAGTCTGCGCCTAAGCTGACTACGCTCTTCATCATGCTTAGAGTCAGGTGGGATGCGTTTTTGAGCATCCATCAGCTCGGTGGATGCGACTGAAATCCACTGCTTCATCCTAGCATTGTGGTTTACCTTGCTAGCAGATACCATTGCTGTTTCCACAGCCTTCTTGATATGATTCCAACCTGCTTCAGGATGGGAATCACTTGCATGGTCGCCTGACTGTTTTTCTAGTTCCTCCTGAAATATTTTCTTAGCTTGATTATCATCAAGTAAAGCCCTAAGAGGCTTTCTTACGGTGTCTTTCCTACGTCCAGCAAGCCTCAAACAAATATGTGCTCGCACTAGGGCATGATCTGAATCTAAACATGTGCCCCAGAACGAGCGACAGTCCTCTATCGAACCCCTCCATCGGTGGCTGATGGCGATATGATCTAGTTGTGTCCAACGTTGAGACGACTTTGGAGGTCGCCAGGTCAAAAGGTGTTTTTCCTTATGCTTAAAATTAGTGTTTGCTAGAAATAGTTGGTTATCTGAGCACAGTTGCTACAGACGGTCGCCATTGTCTGTTCTTTGAGCCGCGAGACCGTAACATCCACCTAGGTGTCTTTCATTTTCACTTAGTCTACCTACTTGTGCATTGAAGTCACTAGCCATTATAACTATATCAGAGCGCTTAACTTTTTGGAGGAGGTCCGAAAGCTTTCTGTAAAACTCATCTTTTACATCATCTGGGCTGCAGTCAGTGGGGGCGTAGGCTGATATGACGAAGAGGCAACGGCGAGTGTCCCTATCTTTCCGAGTCCCTACTGTCCCGTTGAGTCGGACGGCGCACAAGCGACTATCTACAGGGATCCAGTCAAGGAGAGATTGTTCTGCCCTACGACTCAATGCTATACCTACACCGGCGAGGCCCCTAGAAGCAGCATCAGGGCTACCGGATACATGAAGGGTAAATCGAGCTGCTTCTTTATCTTGACATGGTGAGGTCAAATGAGTGATGCTACTCGGATCTTGTATGCGCGTTTCCGAGACGCAGCACACATCGATGGAACGAGATTCTAAAGTCCTAGCTAATGATGCCTGTTGCCCTATTTGACACAATGTCCGTACATTAAATGCTCCAACATGTAGTTTGGAACGGGGTTTAAGGAGACCAGGAACGACGTTTCGCAAACTCGCATCGTTTGCATTAGCTGTGCACTGTAATAAATGAATGTGAGAAGAGTTAGTTGTGGAGATAAGAGAGGTATTAGGGAATGTAGGAAGGATTTGATTTTGAACAATTTTGTCTCGTGTGCTGTTGCGGATATGAGGGCGGTTATCACTTCCCGGCTGCCCACACCGTGGAAGGTTGTTTCTTGACGAACCTGAAAAGGAAGATGGATTAGTGTTGGTGCGTGACCGCAGAGTCCAAGGGACAACTGCTTGAGGCCGGTCACGCACGGCCTTTTCATGAGACGTTGTTTGAGGATTAGCTCCGTTCTTAAAGGCCCTTAGTGGGCACCCTTACCCAAGGAGACGGAAATCCGTGAGTTAGGGGAGGTGTGACATTTTTAGGGCCGACCTTTTCTAACCCTTCCTTCCTTGTGAGAAGGCAGCATCGCTGCAGATGCTGGTTGTCCGAGGGAAACACCTTACTGCTGTCATACCCCTCTGCAGTCAGCAGTACGACTTCGCCCTCAGACCTTGGGTAGCTGCTTTTAGTCTCATCGTTCTCCAATCGACCTGCCTGGCATGGTAGGACCTGCAGGAACACGTGTTCCAGCCAGTATAGCTCGGTTGGGTCATCACGATAGGCAAGCCCGACCACCACGTCAAGGTAGCAGCTTCGGTCGGGCAGCATATTCACTAAGTGATATCAATCAATGGCTTAAATTATTTTTAAAAAATTAAGTTTAACATTACAAAATTTCTAAATGCTTTCACAAGGCAACATGTTTATTAGCATGTCAAGAAAGTTTTGCTGTGTTCACACAATCAGTGTGTCTTTTGTGAAAGTGAGAGGACAAGAATTCACCGACACTGTTAGAAAACCTAGGTTGCAAATCAATGATTTACATTTTAACATTACGATCCTGATGGTAAGAACAATGCCTTTGAAGAAATCACATGATTTTTATCTAGACATTCAGACTCTACCCAGTCGACATTTAGTTATGATAATTAATCATAAGGTTTCGATAAAATCCATCAGTCAAATGAACACAAATTATTATCAGTGAAATAGAAATCAACAAAATTCGTCTATGACATTTAGAACTTTGGTGGATACTACCCACTAAACTACAAGGAAATTCATTTAAATAACCATATCGATTTTTTCTACCTGTACCATTGACACATTCAGTTTTCTTATCCTAAAATTGTGCCTACCTTAGTTATCAGACGAAAAAGAAGACTGGTTAGTAGTAAGATTGATTCCCTGCTTGTAAGTGCTCTGGAACACACACTACGAAAAGCACCCAACTGCGTCACGAGACAAGCCCTTACATGGAACCCTCAAGGCAAAAGCAAAAGAGGAAGGCCAAGGAAAACATTATGCCGAGAAATAGAGAAAGATATGAGAGGAATGAACAAACATTGGACAGAACTGGATAGGGAAGCCCAGGACAGAGTTGGTTGGAGGAAACTGATGGGTGGCCTATGCTCCATTGGGGGTAACAGGCGTAAGTAAGTAAGTGCTGTGGAATTACAACTAAGATGCCGTCAGCAAACTGTTGTAGAAATTGTAGAGTTTCATTGATCAACGTTAAGACTATGATTGAAAATCCAAAATCAATTCAACTGGTCAAACAGAAACAGGATATCGTGATTATTGTTTTACGAAATTTTTGTACACACAGTTTCAATTAACATATGGTTTATGATATGTATATATATATATATATATATATATATATATATATATATATATATATATCATGAATGAAACATTGTTACACCACCATTAAAAACCTGGTAGCACTGAACAGGCGTTTCATCCTGGTATGGTATTCATCAGCACAGGCATTCATGACTCCTGCAACTCACAGGAATCAAACCCAAGACATTCAATATTGCTAATGAACGCTTAACACTGGTATCCAACAGTGTTAATGTCCAAGTCAGATAAATCTAAGGATTTTGCGCAACCTGACCCATTTTCCATCAGTATTCACTCCCTATTCTCGAGAGGGTTGATCTCTATTGGTCACGAACTCTCACTAGAACTCTGGTAACTTCCTCACAAAGCTTAGTCATGAGTGAGGTTATTTTCAATTAGAGAGTATCATGAAAAAGTACACTGTCAGAAACAAGATACAATAGCTGTTACTTATTTCTCTAAAAAATGTGAAGATTGTTAAGTTACACATTTTTTGAAACCATAAATCGATCAATGTTAGACCACCATTAGAAACCTGGAAGCATTGGATGGCCGTTTCGTCCTAGTATGGGACTCCTCGGCAGTGCGCATCCACGACTCCTGCACTCCACAGGATTCGAACCCAGGACACTGCCTACACCCGAACAGGTTGAACTTCACTGGTCACGTCTTCCCACTAGAACTCGGAGAAGATTCATCAGGAAGCTAGTCACTAGTGAGCACAGGTAATTTGCATTACGCGGTTGTGAAGATTGTTAAGTTACACATTTTTTACCGAAGGTCCTGGGTTCGAATCCTGCGGGATGCAGGAGTCATGGATGCGCACTGCTGAAGAGTCCTATACCAGGACGAAATGGACGTACAGTGCTTCCAGGTTTCTAATGGTGGTCTAACATTGATCGATTCATGGTTTCAAAAAATATGCATATATATATATATATATATATATATATATATATATATATATATATATATATATATATACTATTTTCATGAAACACACATAAAATAAATGCATATCAATCTCTTTTATTTTTAATCAAAAAATATTTGATAAGAACTTGAACACATTGTTGATAATATTTACTTTTATCATTGATTATTTCAAATACTTACTACTAATACTACTTACTACTACTACTTGTACAATATATATTATATTCTATAAACAATCGAAATAAGAATTAATTTACAAGAATGATTGAAAATTGAACAAAAGTCATTTTGGAAAAAAAATTAAAACAAAATCAATTTCCACGCCACAGTACTATAGACAGAGATAGATAGGTAGATAGACAGACAGATAGAGGGAGAGAGAGACAGGGCAAAACTGTGTTGAGACAAGAACACACAAACAAACAGAAAAAAATGAAGATTTTGAAAAAAGAGGTTGCCCGTGTATATATTGGCACTGCGCGCACACACATACACACGAACAAAAATGTGGAAACAACAGAAAATGTAAACAAATAATATTCACTGAAGATCAGAGAGAGGGAGAGACAGAATAAAATAACAAGAAAAAAATATATATTAACAAGCAAACAAACGCGGAAGATGTAAATGTGTGTTGCATGACTGAAGTACACACTACACAAAAGAAGAAATTGAAAACAACGCGGAGATACTGTGGGTGGAATTCTTTCATGATTTTACATGATTGTACATTGAACACGTAGATTTCTTTTTTGTTATTGTTGCTGCTGTTGTTCCAATGCTATCATCCACGTCGACGTCGACTTCAACGTTGTTTATGTTTCTAGTGATACATTTCTACTGAATGTTTTTGATAAATCTGGTTCACCAATTAAAAATCTTAAAATATCCGATAGTGAAACAATGCCTAATACTTGATTATTGCTATTTACAACAACTAAACGATGTACCTGTATGTGTGTGTTAGTGTGTAAGACAAGAAAAAGAGAGATTGAAAAAATAGAGAGAGCAATTAAGTTATAATAATCACGTGATTTATATGAATGACTACTTTTGAAAAAAATGTAATTCATACAGTTCTACTATAGCCGACCGTAGCTTCTGACTTGACATGGTGGTCAGGTTTATCTATAATGATTACTTGACGGAGCTATATTGGGTGGAATATATGTTCCTTCAAGTCCTACCATGCTAGTCAGGTCTATTGGAGAACGGTAAGATTAGAAGCAGCTACTCACCACGGTCTGGGGCCAAAGTTGTACTGTTGACTGTAGAGGGTTGTTGTTACAGCAGTAAGGTGTTTTCCTCAGACAACTAGTATCTCCAGAAATACCGCCTTTTCAAAATAGGTGGAAAGGGTTAGAAAAGGTCGATCGAAAAATGTCACATTTCACCTTACCTCAAGGATTTCTATTTCCGGCGGTAAATCCACTTAAAGAACGGAGTCAACGCTTAAAAAACTCTCCATAAAAGGATGATGTGTGACCGGCCTCAAACAGTTGTCCGATTGGCTTTGCTATCATGCTCCTAAGATTGCTCAGACCAACGCTAAACCGATTTCCTTTCCCGGGAGTGATAACCGTCCGTATATCCGTAACAGCACACAAGATTACATTAGTTACAATAAGTATCTGTATTCTGCTAGCTTTGGTCAGTTAGCATGTTACGCTCGTCACTTGGTACGCTTGAAGCTATTACGAGTTCACCTTAGTCGATAAAAGCGAACGAGACAATTACCAGCGTCCAGATAGGCTACTTTGAATCCCAAGCTGAAGATAAAAGGCCTTGTAAGGGTAGAAAGTATATTCTACAAACACCCAGCAATCACAAAACAACCAAGCACACAACTCTCGTTTATTTATACATCATAGAAACGTCCTTGGGACAGTTACGAAAATGGCACATTATAATACACAGCAGCCAATCACAGCCATGGATTTTTTTGGTGGGAGATGAAATCTCAAGGTCAACCGATCATCAACCCATACTCGCAAACGTGAAATACAAAATAAGACATTTATCAAGCGAGTTTTAGGGATCTAACACATCCCCAACACAGCATGCTCCACCAACATGATTCTAACATTGAATATGCTTTAAAAAGAAATCCTCTTCATTTTTTAATGTTAAAACATATGTTTAGACTGTGATAGTCAGACAGTCAGTCAACAACAACAACATTAGGAGATGTAGAGAGGATTTCAATCGGACCAATTCGGTCTCGTGTGTGGATGGTTACTTCCCAGGCTACCAACACCATGAAATGGCTCTTGGTTGTCAGACTATCACAGTTAGTTATCCATAGTAAACAACGATAACCATAACATAATTAAACAAGAGCAGAATAACAAAAAAAAATTATTTGATTGGTTGGTTGGTTGGTTGTTGGCACACTCTACTCTTACTGGATTTATTTATAAATAAACATGTATGTTGAAGCATACGCTTATAGATAGTAAGGATTTTAAAAGTTTTATTTTTATGTAGGTAGGCATGGTCAAGGCGCTAGTTTCGAGCACTGACAAGCGAAGCGAATATCAAAACTAATATTGACTGAAAAAAAAATCAATACAATATATTATATTGATTGTATAAATTTCTCGTACAACTTACACCAGCATCAACAATTCTATTGACAATCACTTCCATTGTATCATCTAGCTTGCATGTAGCAACACCTTGAAATTTCTATGGTAAGATTATAAAAAGAAAAGAGAAGTAGAATAATGATGAACAACTTGTAATTGGGAAAAGGAAAAAAAACAATAAGCCTAACAACTTAGGCACAAGGCATGCTGGCTCACCAAAGGCATTCGTTATACATGTGTCAACTGATGAAGATTTACTACCTTGTCTAATTGAATTGTCATTTTTACCTAGTACCCCGTTTCCTTACACTCATTACTTACTCAGTGGTCGCATAATACACGAACAATGCTTTGAAGACACAAGTAGGATAGAAAACCAATAACTTTTGAATATCTGCTTCTCTGACTGGTCATGTTTTTATACTTATAAAGTAGGATGCAGCAGTGTTACGACGCAGTAAACTTGTCCTTTCGTTAGTAGATAGTCAGTCAGACAGTTGCAACGTAGAAATTCGTACGTATGTACATAAGTTCGGGTTGCCATACCACATTAACACAGAGACGCAAATGTCAAATCAAATCCCATAGTGATAAAGATAGTAGAGGTATTAATGGTAATTAAGAAGACTAGGGTTTGAAGATATTATTCAAGAAGTATAATTCAGTGAGATAAATTTAGAAGCACAAAGATAGAGATTATGAGGAATTCAGAAGATTAGGATTTGAGAGAGCTCAACGAATGGATGCACTTGCTCCAATGTAAACGATTTTGAGCCATGTCGTTCAAGGTCTCTAACCATTGATGACTTTCGTTTCGTGGACCCCAACCAGGTAGTCTACATCTACCTATCACTTGTGCAGGTGCCGATGAAACCCAATCATGAGGCAAAATTTTGCATTCGAAGAGGGAGTATCGCATTCAGATCATACGAACGTAGTAAAAATAATTGAATTTTCTTAAATTTTTCAGAAGTATGAAGTGATTTTAAAAAGCCGGCTAAGCTGAAATGTATTACACGTAGATTTATTCAAACACATTGCCTACTTTGATGAGCAATCTTCCATAGTGTAGGTTCTAATCCTGTGAGTAGAGGGATTGGTGAAAGCACACTGCCGATAAGTCCCTAATCAGGACAAAACGGCCAGCCAGTGCTTTGACGATCCTACTAGGTGTTTAACATGGATCAATTCATGATTTCAACAAACTTCACAACCCTTTTATGTAAATTTATCATATGTTCATTTGTGACCAGCTTCGTGACGAAGTTCTTCCAAGTTTTATGTGTTGTGAAGTTAAGACCACAGTGAAGTTCACACCAGTTCAGATATGAAGCAGTTCTCACCGAAGACAGCGTACACAAGACCGTGGATTAATCAAAGTTAAGCATTAACACTGTTGGATATAGGTTTTTAAATCATCATAAAACTATGAACTTATTTATTGTAGCATTTTGAAGCTTCAAGGTACTAACCACTGTCTTAAACACGATCAATTTGTTAATAGTTTGTAAATTCACCATGCACACACGCGCACACACACACACATTTATATGTGTGTATAATGCAATAGTAGCACAAATAAAAAAAAATCGAAACAATCGATCGATCGATCAATTCATCAATCAATATTTCTATGATTTAATCGATCCATTTATTGACATTCAGTTAGTCAATAAAAAGTATACGATCGATTTAAACAAAACAAAACAGTCAATCCAAACTCATATGAATATAATTAGTAGGACAATTTGAATGTTCAATTGTTTCTAAAAAACCTAAAACAATAGTGTGACCATGTATATACATAAAATTAATAAAAGCAGATTATATCTGTTGGTTTGCTTGTTTAAAACAAATTGAACAATGAATTTGTTTAAAAACTCATAACTCAATAACTAATGACTCATCATCATGAAAGCAAGCATTACATGAAAAAAAACAATAATAATAATAGTTTTATAAGTGAATAATTAAGAAAAAGATCACATGTAAGATTGTAAAAAAAAACTGTTTGATTATTGTTAGAAAAAATAAAATCTATTCATTTTTATAAATCGAAATGGTTTTGTTTATTTGGCATTCCTAACTTAGGGCATGAGTTCTAGGTAGGGATGACAAATCAATAGATGAAGTAGTGAAACTTTATCAGTTGAGGTGGTTGGGATATGTGTTGTTACGTATGGCTAACCATAGACTGCCGCGACGAGCTATGTTTTGTGGTGTAGGAGTATTCTGGAAGAAGTCGAAGAGCGGCCAAACGAAAACATGGCAGTAATCCATGAAGTCATTGAAGAGTGGACTGAGTCATGTTGGTAGATGTAGGCTACCTACCTGGTTGGGGTACGCGAGACGATAGTCACCGATGGTTAGAGACCTTGAACGACATGGTTCAAAATTGTTTGCAATGGTGCAGGTGCATCCACTCTTTGTGTATTATGAAATTCTAAGCTTCTGCATTCCTCATAATCTTTACCTTTCTCCTTCTAAATTTATCTTACTGAATTATACTTCTCGAATCATATCATATATTCGCTCCCTAATCTTCTCTATTACTACTAATACTTCTACTATCGCTATCACTCTTGGATTTGAACTGACAGATGCGTCTCAGTGCTGATATGGTATGGCAACGTGAACTGACGTACTTACGTACGAAGTTCTGCGTTGTATGTCTGTCTGTCTGATAAATTTCTTAAAATAAGCGTAATATCTGGTTTCTTGTCTAGTTCTGTCTAAATCTACATTACAACTTGAATACAAGAAAATCACTTCACTATCGAGGATCCATGTGTAGGTACAGTTTTGCATTTAACTAAAAAAAACCATTATGAAAATCAACCAATCCGCGATTAGCTCGGTTACGTATAGGAACCAATCATCTTGTGTCACATTGATCTACTATAAATTTCGTCCAGTTGTGATTGGATAGAAAGTGTTCAATTACTTTGGTAGCCCCTGGAGGCCATATGAATTTATAATCGATTTCATAAGATTCTAACATCTTTCGTTAAATAAGATAATGCTCATTGTTGGTCGATCTAAACTTCATTGGATTTGTGGAGATGGAATTGTCGCTTCATATTAAGTGTAGAAAGGATTTGATTCTGAACGATTTGGTCTCATCTGCTTTTACGGGTACGAGGGCGTATGTTACTTCCCAGGCTTCCCACACTGTGGAAGGGGTTCTGGTTGTCAGGAGGGGCTGCGGTCTTGTGACTTCCGAAGGAACTCGGCTTTCATCATGAGACGTCATAACTCTTTTAAATGAAGACCTTCAAACTCCCTGAACAGGGTTTATATGGTTTGACTTATTTTTACTTGTTAGCGTATTTTTAAGTGATTTAGTATTTTGTCGGATAGGGTCGCCAACCCCAATCCTCCTACTTTATCCGCGCTACAGATTGCCAGTATCCCCGGAGAGTCTACAGGCGGAGTTTCATATTAAGTGAACATTCTTCAAAGATACACCCTTGGCTAAATACTTGCAATAAACATATCTTCTACCTTCACAGCAATAATATCATACTGCGAAGTCAGTCAGATATAAACTAGGACGCGGGACGTACGTTCATCAGTTCAGGTTATTATACCACGTTAGTATAGAGAATAATGTAAAGTATATTCACTGCATGGTTAGAAGACAGAAAATTAATCTTTCCTGACAATATTTCATGAGCTGTTCATTGCAACTTTTAAAATAGGTTCAGTGATGATAGTGCTCGTCAACTTACTCTAAACCAGAATTTCCTTTTACGAAAAAGGAACATATTTCAAACGTCGTTTAAGAAAATCACAATATTATGAGTATTTTAAAACACTTGAAATATTTCACATAAGAGATCTCGACTATTCATCATCTTTATCAGACAAATCTGACTTAATAGTATCACATATGTACAAGAATGTGTTGTTTTTTGAAAGTGAAACTTCTCTGCTTAAACTAGATTATTGAGTAAGGAGAGTTCACTTTAAAGCAGTTAAGCATAATTAATTTCAAAACTCCATTATACCTGATGAGAATGAATAATAGAACAGGCTAAGGGTTAAACCTGTAGAAATTCGAATATTTCACATCTATCTGATGTCTGTGCTAATTATGTTGTTCAGAAGAAGAACAATGAAAGCTTCATAACCAAAATATCCAGTTCAGTTAACGAAACACCACTACATAAATAACATACAATCAACCGATTCTGGTTAATAGCTACCATAAGAAATGAATCTCTATGATGATACAGTGGAGACGATTAGCTAAGAAACTAGTGTAACAGTTTTAACGAGAAATTCATTTCATACAGTCACTCAGTCAGCCAGTTACAACATAGAATTTGGTACTGTTACGCCTGCATGTAAACACGTCATTTTGATATTCTTGAACTATTACGAGTTTGCCTAGTCGGAAAACGAGAGCGAGGATCCGGTGACACAATATGCTACTCCGAATCCGATTGTCCCAACACCCATATTGAGTAAAAATACGAAGACGATAAGAAGTAGAACCTGTATTTTACAAGCATCCAGAAAGTATGAGGTCCGAATCCAGAAGAGAATCAGGATCCCGGACTAGGGATCCGGGATCGGGTCCTGGTCGTGGTCATAAAACGTTACAGATAATTCGTATTTATACATTTCGGTCGAATAGGAGACAGCATCGAAGTCTGTGAGATTGACAGTTAAGACGACCATTAGGAAGCAACATTTGGAGTGATACTGATCGTCAGGATAACCAATAAGAAACAACATTGGAGCATGTGACATTGATATCTAGGACGACCATAAAATTGACCAATAATTCCCTTAGGATATAGGATGAATATCCTAACAGGTACGTACGTACATTAGTTCATGTCGCCATACTAAAAAGATGAGAATGTCAGTTCAAATCCCATAGTAGTAGATGTAGTAGAAGTATTAGCAATAATCGGAGAGATCAGGGTTCGAAGATATTATCATTATTCAGTGAGATAACTTTACAACGAGAAAGATAGTGGTGATGAGGAATTCAGAGAACATAGAGAATGGATGAACCTGCGCCATTGCAAACGATTTTGAGCCATGCCTTTCAAAGTCTCTAACCATCGATTACAATCGTCTAACAGGCCCCAACCAGGTAGTCAGTGGTTGAGCTTACGTAACACATGTCCCAATCACCTCAACTGACAAAGTTTCAATACTTCGTCTATTGACGTGCCATCCCTACCTACTACTCGTTTCTTAACGACAGCACTGCATACTCTGTTGTTCAATGATACACGAGCAATGCTTTGAAGACACCTTTGATCACATAGTAATAGCCTACGAATATCCTCAAAATTTACTGGTCATGTTTCCCAGCCATAAAGTAGGATGCAGCGAACTGTTACGCAGTACTTTCGTCCTTTGGTTGGGAGATGGATGTCTCGCCGACGTTATAAGTGATGAAGGTTGGCAAAAACCAATCAGACATTCTATTTCCGTGCTGAGATTTCGTCCGACATCAGGTCTTCAACACTGAGATAAGTGAAGCGGTCAACACGCTCACCCGCTTCACTGTCTATCACTGGTTCCGGTACCACACAAGTCAATATATATAGTAACTGGAATACAAGTTCCGTTAAGCGCTACTATCATATATCAGGCAAGTAGTAGTCGATTAGAGAAAATGGTAAAACTTAAAAAATTAGCAGCAATTTAACAAAAACTAACTGATAACTTATGTCATTTCAATCAATTGAATAGAAAGCAGAAAAAGTATAATTGTACACTTTTATAAACAGGAAAAAAAATACGCCTTAATTTTTTTTTAAAAAATATCAATAGACAATCATACTACATAAATAAATTTGAAAAAAATAATAGTTGATATTGATCAGTGAACATATATATATATATATATATATATATATATATATATATATATATATATATACCATCATATGTTATTATATGGGCGTAACCGACAATGCACACTATTCAAGATTGACTATATATATATATATATATATATATATATATATATATATCTCTCTACCTTAATCCAATTGAAAGCGATATGATATATTTTACAGGAAATCATTGTATGAATCAATTTTTAAAAGAATATAGTCTCTTATGAAGAAATTTAATAAGAACACGCATTAGAAGAACAATGAAAACATGAGTGATTAGTGATTTCCAAAATAAAACAAGCAATATAGAGTGCCAATGTTTTTTTTTTCTGTTTGACAGGTCAAACCAAAAACATGACAGAAAATCCATAAAGTCATTGGGAGAAGTGAACTGAATCATGTTGGTAGATGTAGACTACCTGCCTAGTTGGGGTCCATGAGATGAAAGTCATCAATGGTTAGAGATCTTGAATGACATGGATAAAAATTATTTGCAATCGAGGAAGTGCATTCATTCTTTGAGCTCTCTCAAATCCTAATCTTCTGGATTCATCAGCACCTCCATCTTATCTCACTGAATTATACTTCTTGATTAATATCTTTAAACCTTAGTCTTCTTCATTACCATTAGTACCTTTACTAACTCTATCACTATGAGATTTGATTTGACATTTACGTCTCTGTGCTAATGTGGTATGACAACCTGAACTTATGTACATACGTACGAAGTTCTACGTTGCAACTGACTAACTGATTGAATCTCTACTTTACAGTTTAAATGTTTTCCATGTTATGAAATGTAGTGTTCTAGATTTGAAAAGTGGGAATGCACACTAACTGATTACTGGACTCAGAAGGCAAGAGTAGAAGAGAAGGTCTACTTATTACTTACTGAAATAGGTTAGCACGAATGAAGCATGGGCTGCTAAGACCATGATTTTTCAAACAAGTCTACCCTAAGGCTCTCCTTTTCAGTTTCTATAATTGCTGTGTATTATTTTCACGTCTGCCTCTGATTTCTCCCTCAGTGCGCTCTTTGGTCCACATCTTTCCATTGGCCCTTGAGTATATCAAGTTATGGCTAACTTTATGACGCGCAGTTGGGTCTTTTCCAAAATTCTTCCCCGAACGGAATCATATTTGCTCTCTGCTGACGATATCTGATAAGGTAGTGTAGACTATCTTGCATAGAAAATTGTTTATAAATACCTGCGCCTTTTTCAAAGAATGGTTTTGGTAGTTATCCAAACTTTAGCTCCCTACTACAGAACTGTTTCGACGATTGTACTGAAAATCCTGATTTTAATAATGTTGGATGACAGCTGTTTTTCAGTTACAGGTGTTCTTCAACTGTAGAATATTGTCCTTTCTTTGCCGAACTGTGTCTTTACATTCGATTTAGATTCACCTTGCATATCAATGATGCTGCTCAGGTATGTAAAGGTTTGCGCATCTTTCAAAGCCTCTCCATCAAGTGAGGAGCATGTTGTGTTGTATCGGAGGATCTTACTTACGTTAAGGCCTACTGTAGCTACACTGGCTGTCTTCACATTGATTGATTGCTGTGTTTGGGAGAAAAGGGTTAGATATCATCTACGAAGTCTAAATCATGTAGTCGCATCTACACTGTCTGAAGCATACAATTCAGAGAATGACAGAGATTGGAGGCATCCGAGCTATTTTTCAAATGATTTTGAGCCGCATCATTCAAAATCACTCATCGAAATATGTTAGTGCATGTAGTTTTTTCAGACGAAAATAGCCGAATCATCAGTAAATAAAATTGTGAATCGATCAATGTTAGACCACCGTTAGAAACCTGGAAGCATTGGACAGCCGTTTCGTCCAGCTACGCGAATCATCAACCTGGGTTCGAACCCAGGACCTTCGGTCTTGCGCGCGAATGCCTAACCTCTGCGAGGTGCAGGAGTCGTGGATGCACACTACTGATGAATCTCTTACCAGGACGAAACAGCCGTCTGTCGGTGCTACCAGGTTTCTAATGGTGGTCGTCTAACACTGATCAATTCATGATTTCAATGAGTAACTTAAAAAATCTTCACAACCCCATATTGCAATCAATAATTATTCATATATAAACATTTCAAAATCATCAAAAATATTTAATGAGCCAACATTAATCACTTTACACTGTTCAATAGATTTCTATTGGATGATGATTTCTAATAAGGCGAGATATCCGTTTGCTAACTAAAGGACGAGTGTACTGCGCAGTATTTCGCTCCGTCATACTTTATGGCTGTGAAACATGGCCAGTGAGAGTAGAAGATATTCGTAGGTTATTGGTTTTCGATCATAGGTATCTTCGAAACATTGCTCGTATATCGTGGGACACCCGAGTGAGCAACGCTGTTATTAGGAATCGGGTGCTAGGTAAGAATGGCAGATCAATAGATGAAGTAGTGAAACTTCATCAGTTGAGGTGGTTGGGACATGTTTTGCGTATGCCTAACCACCGACTGCCTCGACGAGCTTTGTTTTGTAGTGTAGGAATAGGTTGGAAGAAAGCTAGGGGCGGCCAAACCAAAACATGGCGTAAATCCATGAAGTCATTGACGAGTGGACTCAGCCATGTCGGTAGTTTTCGACTACCTGGTCGGGGTCCGCGAGATGATAATAGTCGATGGTTAGAAGAGACCTTGAATGACATGGCGCCAGTGCACTTATTCTTTGTGTTCTCTCAAATCTTAATCTTCTGGATTCTTCAACCCCTCTAGTTTTGACTTTCTAAACTTTTCTCACTGAATCATACTTCTTGAATAATATCTTCTAATCCTAACCTCTCCGATTACTTCTAATACCTTTACTACCTCTTCTACTATTGGATTTGAATTGACAATTATATCTCTGTGCTGATGTGGTATGGCAACATGAACTGATGTACTTACGTACGAAGTTCTACGTTGCAACTGATTGACTGACTGAATTTAATAAGTAGTATAAATCTATTGATAAATAATTTTTTATTTGTGATTAATAGATCTTATATGAAGAATTTTTCAAACAATTAAAAATACATAACAATAATAATCATAATAATAATAATAATAATAATAATAATAATAATGATAATAATACTCACTCCACGTCGATAATTCAGAGCTTCATACACGCTAATATCCAAATTTTGATAAGTTCGTGTAGCTGCCAAATTCTACAAGTGTACATGTCAAAGATATAATACACAGACACTCACTCACACTCACACTCACACACACACACACAGAATATTGAATTTATCAATAATTAAAAGATTACAAACAAAAAATTGACACCGTTTGAAATGGTGATTCAAATGTCAGCGGAAATCGGTTTTTTTTCATTAGAAAAAAAGCGCTTACATTGGATTAAAACTAGTCATCAAAAAATGAGTATGTCACAGCCTCATTGAACAACTCTAGTGAGCTATTCCAAATGGCAATCGATTACTAGTGAGTTAATTAAGTTATTAGGCAAACAATCTTGTAACAAACATTTGATGTGTGATTGGTTGAATCTTATCGGTCCAGTAGACAAATTGATTTGATATTGCGCTGATACAGGCTTTGCTAACGAATAACAATCAGTACATGTTGAGGGAATGTCCAAATTTTGTAATTTATTCCGAAATTTTGAAGTGTATGCTATGCATCAAACAAGCTTGTTGTGACCTTCAGCTAACATTTCCCACACGGGAAATCCTTGACTGACATTGGTTGGTGGGTTATTTTAGTACACTATTTTGTGGCTCCCACCAAGAGCGTTTTATCATTGTATAAATAATGAGCTTAAATTGTGTGCTTGTGGACCTCATAGTTTCTGGTACCTGTGGAATACATTTCTCTACGTCTTATCAAGACTTCTTCCTCTAGTTAGTCAGTCCTGGGACGATCGGATTACAGTAGCCTATCGTGCCGAGTAAGGTTAACTCGTATTAGCTCAAGTACGTCAGTACGAAACATAAGCTTATAAATGGTGATAGCCACAAACAATCTGATATGATATCAGAACCCTAATGTTTAGTAACTTTCGATACGTTTTCTACTTAAAACCTAGAGGAAGCTACTTTGTCAGTGTATCCAAAGCTTCAGTAAACCATTTCAATTTCTGAATCCAGGTCTACAGTTAGCAGTACGACTTTCGCCCTCAGATTTTGAGTTGTTGCTTTCAGCCTCTCCATTCCGCCTGCCTGGCATGGTTGAACCCATAGGACCATATGTTCCAGCCAACATAGCTCGGTTGAGTCATCACAATCGGCAAGCCTGACAACCACGTCAACAGGCTTGAGTCCATGAAAACGTTCGAACCACGCTTCCGACGTCGTAGATCTGCATTAATCAGTCATTCAGTTACAACGTAGAACCTAGTAAGCATATACATTAGTTCAAGTTGCCATACCACACTAGCACAGAGACGCAATTGTCAATTCAAATCCCTTAGTAGTAAGGGTAGTAGAAGTATGAGCAGTAAGCAAAAAGATCACGTTCCTATGAAATTATTCAACAACTATAATCTAGTGAAACAGATTTTAGATGGGGAAAGATGAAGGTCTTGAGGAGTTGATGAACCATTGCAAACGAATTTGAGCCATATCATCCAAGGTCCGTTATTATCGTCTCGAGGACCTCAACAAGGGAGTCAATATCTATCAACATAACTCAGTTCACTTGTCAGTGAATTCATAGACTTGTACCATAATTTGGTTTGGCCACCCCTAGCTTGCTTCCAACCTGCTCGTCGAGGCAGTCGGTGGTTAGGCATTAGTAATACATGTCCTAATCACCTCAACTGATGAAGTTTCACCACCGCATCTATTGATCTGACATCCTTACATAGGACCCGTTTCCTAACAACAGCATTACTTACTCAGTCGTCTCAGGATACACAACCAGTACTCCGAAAATATCTGTGATGGAATACTAATAACCTACGAATATTATCAACTTTTAATGGTCATGTTATCCAGCCATAAAGTAGGACGGTGTGAACGGCTGCACAATGGACTTATTTTTAGGTTAGCAAACGGATATCTCACTTACGCCATCAATGACGCAGGTTGGCAAAAGCCAATTGAGACATCTGTATCCGTGATGAGATTTCGTCAGGCACCAAGCCGTCGGCACTGATGAGAATCTAAAGATACGTGAAGCAGTCAACACACTCAACCGCTTCATCCCTGTTAGGATATTCACCAAATATCCCTAAGAATACTATTTTTAGAACTAGCAATCCTATTGCGTCGAATTCTATTGGCCGAAATTATGATCGTTCTTACCGTCAGGCAAATACTTCACATGTTAGTCTTTTTATTGGTCATCTGGACAGGTCAAATGTCATTCAAATGTTCTTTCTATATTGGTCTGTCCTAATTGTCAATGTCACGGACGTTGATGCTTTTTCTTATTCGACCTTAGTGTATAAATACGCGCTATCTGGAAGACTTAATAATTCCGTTCCCCCTGCCTACTACTTCTTCTGTTTACGACCCAATAAACATCTTCCTGCCACGGTGTTACGTTCTGATTTCTAGGAGATTTGGGAAAGCCTTTGGGTCGTTTTGTGATATTTGAATTGGACGCCGTTAGGACTGAAGATTTACGTAGCCGCGTTTACAACAAATTTGGCGACGGGTTGGTGGACTAATTATGGATCCAGCTACATTAGAAAAATTGTTTGCACAGCAGCTGAAGCTGATGTGAGATGCTTACTCAGAAGCACATCTCTTCCTCAAGTCTCATCTACACCAACAATTCCTCAGTCAGTTGATGGTAGACCAGTAGTATTTCTGAGTTTCTGTATGATCCTGACGCCCCAATATTACATTTGATACTGTTGGGTTCATGCGTTATGAAGATCTTTTCAAAGTTGATTTTGCTGACAAAGATGATCCTGGAAGGTGCGTCTTCTCCTTCGAAAACTTGGTCCGTCAGAACTGGACAAGTATCGCAACTACATTCTACCGCAGAACCCACGTGACAGATCAATTCCCCCCCCCCCCCCCCCCCGGTGATGCTACGGTTCTCAGTCCACCTGTCAGCAAAACTTTTTGTGGGGCTCAAGCATTCTCATTATCCGATACCACGTAGCGTAGTTGATTGTGAAACTAGTCATGGCATGAGAAGTCCGAGTATACTTCTTGAGCTCATGTTTAGGTATTGTTCAACCGCGCGGTGTGAACGCGTTCAAACACATGACCCCTTTACTGAGTGGACCAAATTCAAATCACTCTCATGTTCATATGGCAGGCTACAGTCACCCAATTCTCCGACATCAGAACTCGAGTGCTTAACCGCCTCTCGAACAATGAACCCCAACATCTGATCACATCCGATCATGCTATCGCATGATAGAGCTTATCACCAACGCATCACCAACTTTACAGTGTGACAACACTTTGGGTTCCAATTCTGGGAGCCACGGTGGTGCCGACGTTCTCACGTGTTCTAGCAAACAGAAGCAAATCTTCTAGATCCGAAAACCTGTGGGTCGTTCGAATGGCCAGAGTCCTCTGTTATCCTAATCCACTCAAACTACAACAGCATAAGAAAGCCCCCCTCTCACCACTGGTTGGCACTGTGGACGGCGACTGGCATTTTGTGAAATTTTTGTCCATTCAAGCAGCATGTGGTGCAATCGCTGTTCAGAACACTTCGGTCAGTAAAAGCGGTTTTTGCCAATCACCCCGATTCACCTCGGGCCGGCCGCAAATTCACAGTCGCAGGCAACCGTCTAGCCCAGAAAGCCGTTTTGTGCTGCAATACTAGGAGTTTAGGGCTAGCAGTCCTGCCACCCCGAGTTGCTTCTACTCCGACTGCAAATTTTTCTGACCCTCTCGTTGATAATGGTCAGCTTGGTTCGCATGCAGTTGGATACCCTTTGCATGCAGATATTCACTATATTCATGGTCAGAAATGAAGACTTGGCGAACACCTTGTGGTCAACCTACGCATCAAAACCATCATCGCAGACACAGTTTGTCAGTGCCTGTGGGGTGTCCACCTTCTGATCATTCGTGGTTTAGAACCTTGGATTGCTGTGGTGTCGTTCAGAGATACAACCCTTTCAATGGACAGCATGCTATATGTCAACAGCAGTCCTCCTCACAACCCTCCTGGGGTTAGACTGATTGGTTCGAAAAACTTTGGTCCTCGCTGATCTTCCCAATCAATCGTCTTGGTCTGCAAATCAAGTAAACACCTGCCGGCCCATTATACACAACAGCATGCTGCAGATTTTCAAAAAAACGACTCACTGAAACCGCCTTCCAGCCTTGGTAGTCGGACCTGGCAGCCAGTTTGCCCATGCCTGATAGAAAAATGGTGATCTCTCAAATAAACTTGGGAGGACGTTCACCATGCATGTCACGTACACCAACATATAGCACAAACTGGAGGTGAATGGGGGAAGAAACTCAATGATCACGAATAAACAGAAAAAACGATATTCACCGTGAACTGCCAATTCTTTCTTGGAAATCTTCACAGCGTGTTTCGAATGTGAGAGCTAGTAGATGTGATGAAGGCGGATATCATGAAAAGCCTTTTCAAATACCAAAAGACCGGCTCGTGGTCAATCTAAGTGCCCCCAGGGGGAAGATAAAGAGAAAGGTAAAATTACCGAGAAGCGTGCCTCCCACTCTGTTTGTGCCTGTTTGGTATACTTACTTCTATAGTTCCGCCCCAAATGACCTCCAAACACAGACACTATCGAGTCATCTACTCCAAACAGAACTATCCTATCAGCTTCTCAGGGATTTTATCTCCGAGGTGGTCGAAACGCAAGCGAAGAAAATCAAGTAATTTCAAGTAAACCCTCGGCTGTGTCGCTGTTATTTTTTCCTTTTTTTTTTCTTCCAGAGGGAGGTGT